ATTTTCACATTGTAGAAATGGTCCAATGGAAAGGCAAATTCTGATACACATACTACAAGCACAAAAATACAACAGACAAAATGTAATAAAAGCAACAAATGATGAAAATACTCAGTCTAAAATAATCATTGAATAATAATTTTAATAAAACCAGGATCTAGCAAGGAAGTTGAAAAAGCTATGGAGCAGTAATTCCTATAATAATGAGTGCACTTGGAACACCAATTAGAAACTTGAAAGAGCATTTAGGGAGAATTGGAATTGAGATGGAGATTGTAGACTTCCAGAAATGTGCCATCATGTCTTGTTGACACCATGCCTCAGGAACAGAAGTTTCATTGATAACATCAATGTACAACATCAACATAATAATAACAATGCTTCTTCTTGAAAATTCAGGCAAATTCTTCATTTTGTTTTTATTGTAGACTGCATCTGGACTTGCTGTATTGTGGGCTGTCAGCGTTCTTCTCTATTTGTTCAGTAGTTACATTCATATCCCATCATTCCTGAGTCCTTTTGTTCTGGTGCTGCTGCTCATCGTTTATCTGATAAATCCTGTACAGATATTCCATCACAGGGCTAGACGGTGGTTACTACGAATTTTGGTGAGTTTTTTTCCATTCCTCCATTTTTGCTTTAACAGTCTTTGTAATAATTCTCTTTTTTTCCTCAAGAATCTGTACACTTACTTTCATGTAAGAACTTAATCAAAATCTTAAAATTATGCCCATTTAAAAAAGAATTTACTAAGCTATCTTTTTTAATACAGAAACTGACTGTAAAAAAAACAATGACCATATTTAAGCAATTTCTTGGTAGTATAAAAAATAAGTAAAGCAAAAACAGGATCATGTTGAAAATTACTTTCAAAAAAAATTTTTCTCTTGTGAAAAAAAAATTGAAGAAAATATAAAAAAGATTGTAAGCCAACTTAAATGATCAGTGTTTTTATTAACCCTTGTCAAAGAGGATAAATAAAAAAGATTAAACACTAAAATGAAGTTACAAATAAAAACTTTGTAAAAATGATTCATTACACCTTCTCAGGTTAGTATTTTCCACTGACATGAAGTGGAAAGATGATATTGAATCAATTGCTAGGTCTACTGCAAGGAAAGTTGGTTCACTGTGCCATACTAGATAATTTTTCTCAGAATCTATCTTATACCTTTATAAGTCTACCATTCATCCATGCATTGAATATTGTTGCCACATCTGGTTTGGTGCTTCTGCTATGTCTAGAGATTCTTGACAAATCCAAAGAAGACTCTGCAATTGATCCTGACCTGGCATCTCAGCTTCATCCATTTTCCCACCACCATAATATAGCTTCTCTGTGATTTTTCTATAAATATTTTCATGGTATCTGTTCTGATGAGTTTTTTCTTTGGTAGTTTGACATTACAAATTTAAGTGCAATACAAGATTGTCAGCTTTTAAAGTTGAAATTACTAGATCTAACAGTTCCTTCTTTCACAGTTCTTGCTTGTGGAACTCTCTTTCAGCTTCTTGCTTTACAGTTGTTATAATGTTGATTTGGGGTTAGTAGAGACAAATAACACGTAAGGGTTTTAATAGGTTGGTAAAAAGGTACAGAAATCGCCTGAGTAGTCAATAACTAGCTCAGCTAAGAACTTCTCTGTCTATCTGTCTTTCCCTTGAAATTTTAGAATTTTTTTTTCTCAAATATAGATATAAAAAATTTTTTTAATTCCCAGTGCCCCTCTGTCGTGTGCATGTGCAGTCCTACCAACATAACAAATTTAGTCCGATGAAGTCTTGAAGGACAAAACACATTACAAGTAAACTTTTTACAATTCATCATACATTTTCCCCATATATATATATATATATATATATATATATATATATATATATAAGCTGTGCATGTATAGAATACAGAATGGCATAATTGTTATCACTATGGAAAGTAGAATTACTACTTTAAAAAAAATAATTTCAAGTCAGGCTATGTTCACTTCACACTAATTCCTTTGGGAAAGGCATGAATCCACTTCTCCCTGAACTCTTTCTCACCACCAGATTTCTTAACAAAATTGTCTTATCACTTGTGTTTGATGATGGTTGAGTGGATGAATTAGAGCTTTGACAAGCCACGATCCCAGAGCTTCATCTGTGAAGTTTTCTTACTCCTATTTTATTTTTATTTTCATATCCAACAATATATCTTTTTAATCAAAAGAAAATGTTATGGCAACTTCTTTTAAGAAATACCCCCAAAATCTATATCTTATTTTGTTAGTAAATCCCATCAATTTTAAAACAGGAGTGTTTTGGAAACTCATTTTAAACCAGCCCCAGTATAGGTGCACACCCTCAGAGTAATTACCCTGCTAAATATATAAGGATCATTCTGAAAGTAATGCTTTCTATTTTATTGTGTTGCCCACCCCCTGCCCCCAATATAAGAGATGGAATGAGGTTACCCCTTCCAACTAATAACCCATAATTTTTGTATTGTTAGATGGCAGTCTGGCAAAATAGCATCTGACTTAAAGTGCATATGAAGCAGAAGTATATCATTGAATTCTTCCATAAAAGAAAATTTGCACCTGTTGACATTTATTGACAGAGAACAAACAGTGGATATGAGCACAGTTAGGCATTGAGTAATGTGTTTCAGCAGTGGTGACAACAATGTGTGTGTGAAAAAAATGGGCTGTGTGTAGATTTTTACAATCTCGGACATGCTTGTTTTTTGTCTATCACTGTGGAAAAGTAGAGATTTGTAGCTGAAAACTTGCTCTATCCAGTAGTGCTATTGTGCTCCCTGTATGTGTTGTATTTTCTGTAGAAATACATAAGAGGTATTTCTTTTGGAAATTTATTGTAATATGTATAATGTGTAGTGGCTTGAAAGATAAAAAAAACATTTCAGTTGTTGATTCACATCTTTAACATGTTTGTTTATTTGTCTTTAGTTTAGAATTTTCACTGCTCCATTTCATCACGTAGGATTTGCAGACTTTTGGTTGGCTGACCAGCTCAATAGTTTGGCACCAGTCATGTTGGATTTTGAATATTTTATCTGCTTCTATGCCTTTGATCTTAATTGGAAAACCAACACCCAAGAAAGTAAGTTTCATTTCCCTTCTTATCAATAAATGTATTAAAGAAAATGCATGAAAGGAACTCAAAAGATATATGTGTAAGCAAATGAATAATTGCTTAGCAAATAGGAAAAGTTAATTTTGTTTCAAAGTGTATTCATATTAAATGAGTTTGGTTTTGTTTGGTTTATCAACCTTTTCCATGTTATTTGATGCCAAATTCTGTAATTTTGATAAACAGTAGAAAGGTAAATTTAGGTTTGGTTTTTACAAGGGTCAAAAATGGAGACATGGAGACATAGGTTTGGTTGTCACAAGATTCAAAAAGGGAGACATGGAGACATAGGTTTGGTTGGCACAAGATTCAAAAAGGGAGACATGGAGACATAGTTTTGGTTGGCACTAGAGTCAAAAAGGTAAACATAGGATTGCTTGGCACAAGAGTAAAAAAGGGAGACATGGGACATAGTTTTGGTTAGCACAAAAGTCAAAAAGGGAGACATCGTAACATAGGTTTCATTGGCACAAGAGTCAAAAAGGGAGAGATGGTAACATAGGTTTCATTGGCACAAGAGTCAAAAATGGAAACATAGGGTTTGGTTGGCATAAGAGTTAAAAAGAGAGACATATGTTTGGTTTGCACAAGATACAAAAAGGGAGACATAAGTACAGTAAACAGGTGGCCCCATTTTGGTGAGGGTTTATCCCTCTGCATGGATAGGCAGTTGACATATTCTCAATCCCAACTGTCTGGGTAGTCAAATAAAAATGTTAAAAAATACACTTTGTCTAAAGTTACTAAGCAGGCTGTAAATGAAAGCATATTTTTGACTAAGAGAATAGTTACTATTTTTAAGGTTTATTGACATAACCAGAATATTTTATCAAAACATTTAGTCATTTTCTGAAACACGTATTTAAGAAATGCATACTCTAATTTCTTCAGAACCATTTTGGATTTTTTCAATCATGTCTCTGTATTTATGCATAAACTAAAAACTTTGATTCCTTCCCAACAAATTGTAGCAATGCAAATTGGTGACAAAATCTTCTTATACAATGTGCAATGTATAAGTTGTCTCTTCTGGATGTTCTTCTTGTTGGTGAATGCTGTTATAATCCTTGCCTTCAGTTCATCTTTGGTGTTACAAGGAGTTTTGTTGATCTCTTGTTCAAGTGTGCCCCACACGTAATCATCAAGGGGGTTGCAACAGTCTGAGGAGTTAGGTGGCAAGATGTAAGGGGTGATTCAGTTGCAGAAATTGTCTGACAGCCAGGATTGGGTTCTCCTGCTTATGTAGCATGGTGTAGATTCCTGTTGCCAGACATGGGGTTTTCCAGCAGTTACACTCTGGACGCAGGGCAGCACTACCTCCTCAAGGCACTTGATGTAGGCCTCCATGTTGATTCTGAGGCTCTTTGGGAAGATGAATAGAGACACAACATTGCTATCACTAGTTGGGGTCAATCCATTGTGTGGTTTTCAGGCACTTTCTGATAGTGTCACATGATGGGATTACCTCCCCATCACAAAGTCACCTTCTTGATAAACTAAGGTTAGATTCAAACACAAGTCTAATCTATACACATCATTTTCAAATGACTTTCTTTTTCTTCATTGAATATTGATTATCTTCATGCATGTTTGTTTTTTGTAGGGAGAATTGGAATGATGGGCCATGTTTGGTTCCTGTTTTGGTTTCTAAAATATACATATATACATCATAACAAGAAAGTGAGACATTTATATATATATAGAAGGATTTATTATCAGAAGGATTTGGTTGTATTAATTTGGTAGATGTATGAAATTTCTTGTAATGTTGTTGTTAGTAAATGTTTCAGATTTTTATGTTTGTCCTGGTGAATGAATAAATTATTTGCAAGTGATAAGTCTATCATTAAAAGATAATATTAAACATGAGTAAGTGATATTTGTGTAAGACTTATCTGTGGTCTACATTCCTGGAAGTACTCAATCCCATGTGCACTCCTTGTGAGTGACCAATGAAAAAGAGAAAGTTTCTAAATAATTAGTTTCTATTAAGGTTGTTGCCTTTTTTTATTGACTCATGGGAATTAGGTTTGTTTTTATTCTCCTAGACTTAAGCTAATAACTGATGTTAACAGTGCAGAAGAAACAGTCTCTTCTTTATTCCTTTGATAAGAAAAAATTTTCAGGTTTTTATTGTTTTCATATCATTTACAAAGGAGGATGCATTTATAAAATACTTTGGGGAATATTTAAAAAATATTTATATAAGTGACATTTGAATTTGTTCTTATTGTCACTGCTGTTCAATACATAAAAAAATTTAGTTTCAGTGTTGATATCAATTGTATGTCATTAACTTTGGAAAAGATACAAGCAAGTCCATGTGGCTTGCTATAAAGACCAAAATTAAAATAGGATGTTCATGTGGGTGACGGGGAGAATTAAAGAGAAGTCATAAATATCCAACTTAATAATTAAAATAACAAATTATAATTTTCTCCTTAAGAAGAATCAATCTAGATCTACTCCCTAGGGTCAGTTAAGGATCAATTTCTCAACAAGCAAAACACTTAAGTGATGTAAAAGAATTTGTGAATGACCTTTTACATGTTTTACACTGTTTTGGCTGTCCTTCTTTTTTCTTTTTTTTTAATCATTTCACTCCAGGTAAGGCAATAAAGCCACTAAGACACAAGGGAATATGTAAGAGAATATGAGAAAAAAAACTATTAAGGTGATTCCATTTCTAATAAGTAGATCACATGATCGTAAAGGAAAGGTATATATGGGAATTAGTGTGGCATCTAAGTGATCGTGATTCTCTATATTATCCTCTATACTGATCACACTGCAGATTACTATTCAGCAGTTACTATTTGAAGAAGTATTACTAGAGCGAGTATTATTTGAAGGAGTCACTACTAGTATCTGCAATTCCAAAGTCTTGACTACAACGAGTATTATGAACATGATAACAAGCATTCATTGACATCACAAAAGTGACAACGAGTAAGTGTTTGATATCACAAAAGTAAATAATGATTGACATAGCATTTAAATTTTTGAAGATCAAAATTGATCAGGAAGGAAGAAGTCAAAAAACAGTTTCATAAGTGAGAAGTGCAAGAGAAGAAACCGTTAACATAGAACTTATGGTTACATCGTCATTTCAACTGTAAGAGGATGAGACCTTGCCACCAATCTTGTAGTATGCTTAAAGTCATAAATTCTAGGTACCATAGAGGAAAGTTCATCAAAACACTTGCCATGAAAGTATTTATAGAAAAGGCACAAGAAAGCTACATTAGAGCTGTGGAAAGTGACTGAAGGCAAGATGCCAGGTCAAAACCAATAACATTGCAGATTCTTTTTTGGATTTTATCAAGAATCTCTAAAATTCAGCTGACTTTATTGGGTATCAGTTGTTGCTCTACTTATACCCTGATACTTTTTATCATGAGTCATTTTAAGATTCTGAAGAAAATTCAATAAAAGTTTGGCTATATTTAACCTTTGTGCCCACAAAAAAACAGTCTGTCAAAAGAATGGTTTTCTGTTGACACTGCTATTACATTAAACTACTGAGACTTCCTATGCAATGTTTATTTACAAGATTATAAAAATATGTGAACCAAATACAATGTGATATTTACTATTTACCATTTTATAAAGATTTATTATTTACCATTTTATAAAGATTTATTATTTACCATTTTATAAAGATTTATTATTTATCATTTTATAAAGAAATACATTTGAAAAGAAATGTTTTTATTAAAAAATTCATAAAATCCTACAAAATTTTCAATGAATTGTGTTCTTTGGAAGGGTTGGTAACACATTGGTGAATTGCCAATTGATTTGAACTTTATAACATGATAAATAAGAAAGACTTCATTATAGTTGGTTCATATATTTTTATGATTAGTAAATTTTTATAAATTTATGAATAAACAATTGTTTTCATATTTATTTCTTTATAAATTAATAAATGATAACCATTGCATTGTATTAGTTGGTTTGCATTCTTAGAATGTTGTAAATACACATTTTTTATAGGAGATAAAAACTTTTCTGGCAACAAGTAGAAATTACTTAACTGTTATGTCAAGCAGAGTTAATTGTGAGTGTAGATCTTTCCGCATATTGGAACTAAGAGGGAAAAAAAGAGCATTAAGTTTGTTCTCTTTTTGTATCATCTTGGACGAGGAGGAAGTGATGTATAGCATTTCTGTTTTGTTGCTTGCTATTTCAAGATCAGTAGTGGCAGTTATTTATATGTCCATTGTTGTGTGCTTGGTGGAAATTTGCTTCAGGATCACCTGCTGGAATAAGTATTGTTTTGTTAGGGTCTCTTGGCTGAACAAGTATGATGTTGAAAGACTCAAAACTTGTCATGACTCCAAGTCATAACATCACTGATGAGATGATCTTGTGCACTTGTTGGAATGTATTCATAACAAATTCTGGTAAATAAACAATCTAATAAATAAATAGTGTTTAATATTTTTGTTGTAAATTTTCAAAGATCAAAGGAAATGTATAAATTCACTTTCATATGTTTGAGTTTTATTAAAATTCTTATAATCACTTTTTAAAACAATAAACATTGCTCTAGGAGTGAAGGTAGTACAAAATAATAGTAGTGTCAAAGGAAAAACCATCTTTTTACAGGCACAAAGATTAAACTTTATCAAAAGTTTCTTAAAAACTTGGATTTTATCTATTGTTATTAAATGCTAAAAAAATCAGTTTTTTCTAAATCATAAATCGAAAATTTCAATGTATCAGAAAAAAAATACAACAATATCCCATAGCAGACTGATTAGATTATAAACAGGATGAAACTGAAACTGAGTTACATATTGTTGACTTTTACAAAAGCTGAATGTTTATGTTACAAAATTCAAATTATTCTTGATTTTTCTTTTCTCTAGCTTCATCTTGTCTTGGAACAAAGTATGGTATTCGAGGTCTGGTCAGCTGCCTGCCTGCCTGGTTCCGTTTTGCCCAATGTCTACGCAGATACAGAGATACACGACTCAAATTTCCTCATATTGTAAATGCAGGAAAATATGCTACAACATTTGTAGTTGTCATTTTTCACACATTCTATAAGTTGTATAAAAGGTAAATTCTGGTTAATTATTTATTCTTTTATATATATATATATATATATATATATATATATATATATATATATATATATATATATATATATATTATTTTATACATATCTTCTGTTTTTGTATCTAACAAAAAAGACAACATATATATATATATATTTTATATATTTTACTTTAAATGTGCAGTACTTAATGGAATGTGCTCAGTATCAGTTATAGAGCTAACATATTCAGTTGTATGATCCATACGACTGAATATATATATATATATATATATATATGATGTGCCTTAAACCACATGTAGGACTTCCTGATCGAACAAAGCCCAAATAGTGCTTTTAAACACATATCTTTCCTGATTCACCAGATATACATATCTGCTCTGTTTTCTATCCTAATGTAAACAATTTTTTAGGAAATGGATTAAATCCAATATATTTTTAAATTATTAAAAATAATATTTAAACAAATAAATTAAAAATATCTTGGATTTAATCTTAAAATTCCTAAAAAGTTGTCTTTATGTTAGGATACAAAACAGGCAGATATGTATATTTCAAGAATTAGGAAAGAAATCTGTTCAAAAGCACATATGTATGTATATATATGTGTGTGTGTTTCATTAAAAATGACTGACAAGGTACGGTGATTACACTTTTTTTATTTAAATTTTTTGATGCGTATTTGGCTTTTGTAGATGTTAATACCTACCCACCAATTACAGCATCACGTCAACCCACAACGTCCTTCAAATTCTAAAAATTATAAAACCAACCCAAGGTATTTTAGTGTCACTTGATGCTGAAAATTTATTCACAAATGTCCCTGTTGATCAAACTATTGACATAATCCTTAACTCTGTGTACACAAATAATTTCATTCCACCTCCATCCATCAAACCAAATATCCTTGAAAAATTATTACATGCAAGCATAACCAAAATCTCTTTTTACAAACATAATAGCAACATCTACAACCAAACTAATGATGTTACTATGGGAAATCCACTCAGCCCGTGTTTCTCCAATTACTATATGTCCCATGTCTGCTACATAGATGATATTTTTATTTTAGCAAAAAACAAACAAGAAGTAGATAATCTCAAAATCACATTTGAAAAAAACTCTGTCCTTAACTTTACCTATGAACTATCAAAAAACTAAACTTCCATTCTTAGATGTTTTTATAGGATACAGTAACAACACTTTTACCACCTCAATTATATAAAAAATCCACTAGCAGAAACACTTACCACCTTAATTTTAAGAGTGAATGTCCACTTAGATATAAAATAGCAGTTATAAAAAATTTCCTCAAGAGAGCAAATGAGAATTCATCTTCTCATCTACTTTTCCTTAAAGAACTCAACAATGCAAAAAAGACACTAGTTAACAATGGTTTTCCTAACTACCTCATCGACCACCAGATTAGACTATTTCTTTCCAAAGTAACTAATGACGATACTGAACATACAGATAAAAACAATGACATTAACATCTATGAAAGCCAAATACACATCAACTATAAACAAGATGAATTTTCACTTAAAAATATCATAAAGAAATGCAATATCCCAATCAACTCTTACAAGAAAATTAAATTATCTATTACAAAAAATTTAAAACATCTAACCTTATCATCAAAAATAACAACACACCTGAAAATCAAAACTACAAAGGACCAACATTATTTATGAGTTCAAATGTCCATTAAGAAACTGTGTTCCTGATCAAACCAAACTCATAAATAATTACATCAGTCACACTACTACAAGCCTATCCAGACAACTTACATTACACCTATCTGACCATAGCTCTATTAGGACTCATTTAAACACACACAAAAACCTGCCAGACTCCAGCCAAAACATACTAGTAGAAAACACAACGATAATAACCTCATCCACATGTAAAAAAAAGATTAAAAATAATGGAAGCTCTAATAATAAAAAGAAAAAGCCAACACTCAACAGCATTAACATTAACACAGCCGCAATGTGCTGACCATGTTTGGAAAACAAAACATTCCTATAACTCTAGATATATGCATAACATAACCCATATATTCAGTTAAAAGTAAAATAAAATCATCTTTGATAATGGCTAAAAGTATAGTCAAAAGCACTCAGACATGCAGAATTTTTGGACAGTTCTTACACACCTTGTGTCCAGAAAAGAAAACACTTGTATGAACACAAGAAAAATTAAATAAAAAGCTTAATCTCTGTACTGTGTCAGTCATCTTTAATGAAACCTGTATAAAAGAGAGATTGCTGCCTAAATACACAAAATAGAGAGAGAGGGAGATGATTTTAGTGCTTTTTTTTCTTTATTGTTTGTCATTTGACTTTTGACTTAAATTTATTCTGCCTTTTATCAAAATCCTGAAATTTACCACATTTAATGGCAAGCAGATTTCTGAAAATAAAGTACACAGTATTAAAAAATAGAGTAACAATAGTTAATATATACAGAAAAATTTCAAAGACTTATCTGTCTGACAGCAAGTTCTGCAGGTATACCGATTGAAACTGAAAGATAAGTTTTTGGAAATTTTGATTATCTTTTAACTAATTAACTGTAGATAAGTATATAAATATTTTTTTACATTAAAACCAAGAAACATGTTTATTTAATCCCTATCAAATCTTGATAGAACTACAGATATTTTCTCTTTATTTGCAGAGATTTAAAAAAAAATTTTTGATGGTGCAACTTTCTGATTGTTTATTTCTTAATTATTATCATTACTTTTGTAGAAAAACGAGAGAAAATTGATGATGATGACGACGAAGAAGAAGATTACCTTGAGTTACATGCCAATGTTTTCTTTTATGGCTGGATTGTAGCCTTGTTCATTAGTTCCTGTTATACTTTCACTTGGGATCTCAAAATGGATTGGGGGCTCTTAGAAAAAACTGATGGTGATAACAAGTTTCTACGTGAAGAGTGTGTTTATGCATATAATGTAAGCAAACATTTGTATTTTATTTGTGAGACTTTTACTCACTAAATTTCTGTAAACTAAATTCAATCATGTGTTTATTGATAAATTGTTTATTTTCAGTTAAAAAATAAAGCAAAGAACATATTTTATTTTTATTGAAATGTTCTTTTTTTATATCCACTATGGGGTGATAATGTCTAGCTTCTTTGTTTTTTATCCTTCTAAACAATTTTTGAACATATTTATTAAAACTGCAACTTTTTCAAGACATAAACTGTTCAAAACTAAAATGGAATGCCGTGAGAGGCTTTTCTCTATTGTAGTTCAAATAATATCAAATCTATCATATGCAGATGAGATAACCTTGAAAAACAGTGATCTAAGTTCATTCCAAATATTTTTTTACCTTCTTTCCCATAACACAAAAGAAATAGTCTTTGAATTAAATCTCAAAAAGATTATTTCAATAATAAGGGACAAAACGCAGCCACAACTTAACATCTAAATAAAAGGAAAGAAAATTGACCAAGGGACCGATCTTGGTCACAAGCTATCCTGCACAAATGACCAAGAAGTTGCAATAAAATGACAAATAAACACTAAGTGGCTCATGTTTTAGAAAACATAAGGTCATGCTGAAATTGACAAGGCTATCAACCCACATTAAAATGAAGATATACCTTATATATATTCTTCCAGTTGGTTTAGATTATCTAACATAGACTCAAAAACTTTCAACTCAAATTGAAACATTCCAAAAACATATAATGCACATTATCACAGATCAAAAGTTGAAAGGACAGTGAAAATAACCACTCTTAGAAATGTAACCAATTTGCATTCACACTTCAATACCACATCTGTAGCAAATACTTGAAGCTACTAGGATACATTAAAAGATCAAATGCATGGTTCATTATATCATGTCTTGAGTGTATGGTGCCTGGGTGAAAGAAGTAGAAGAAAATCATAACAGAAGTGAAAGGATAACATAATTCTGTGCTCCTCAACTAATGAATAGCAGACAATAAGTAAGCTTACTCAAGATCATAATTAATAGCAGGAAACAAATCATGTTAGTTTGCAATCTACTGAGTAATGTGATATTTTGAATAGGAAATAGTGAACAGAATGAACTTTTTTATAATAATAGGGATAACAAATATGGTGTCAGTTTGTTTACATTGCACAGATCAGTACGAAAATTTCAGTGATTGCGTAGGTCAGTGTTGCCAATTTTGTGTGAATTGATTGGACAGTTTTTGAAATATTAGAAAAAAAGTTATCTCGATAATAATTTGGCACGCAGTGTATATACCCAAGTATAGGATTGATGTATATGGAATAAATTCCAATAACCAACAATTACTATTCTTAAAAGAGTGTTCAATACGGAGTAGAGTGAATATAATTATTTATTTAAAAATTATAACATAAATATGTTATAAAATCACTACAAAAAATAGCCATTTTGTTTCAACACCTCTGGTGTCTTATCAAGTGATGATGTTGAATGTAGAATAAAGGTTTTAAAATATATATATATATATATATATATATATATATATATATATATATATATATATATAACAGTAAAGGTTTGTCATTTAGCTGATTGATATTACCTTCAGCATCCTGACACCAGAGTTTGGTAGATGGACCATCCAGGAATCACTCTGTCCACTTGTCAGGAGGTATCATGTTTGTACATGAGGTATTTGAGAAGATATCTTTACTGGAAAATATAACATAATGTTACACTGCATGTGTCAGATTGTAATGCTTTCATTTTTCTTTTAAATGTATCAAGCATTAACATAGAAGCTTCCAATTTCATAAAGTAAATTAAATGGCATACTATACTTACAGTAATAAATATCAACCACACTGACTCCAACATTTTGAAAGTGGCTCAGTGAAAAGGAATGACAAGTGGATCTGTATAAATCCACATCATAATAGTTCTTGTCACAGGTTTTTGGAGTGGTTTTATTGAATTATATTTTTTTGAGGGTGGTTTTATTGAATGACTCTTTTTGAGGGTTATATTAAATGACATTTTTGGTAGGGGGTGTTATTGAATGATTCTTTTGGGGTAGTTTTATTGAATTACTTTATTCAGAGTTTTTTTTACTGTGTCATGCGAGACAACTTTTCTCTCCAGAATCTTACACATTTATAAGTCTATCATTCATCCATGCATTGAATATTGCTGTCACATCTGTTCTGGTGCTTCTGCTATATATTTAGAGATTCTTGATAAAATACAAAGAAGAATCTGTAATGTTATTGCTCCTGACCTGGCATCTCAGCTTCTGTCACTTTCCCATTGCCGTAACATAGTTTCCCTGTGCCTTTTCTATAAATATTTTTATGGTAATTGTTCTGATGAGCTTTCATCTTTGGTACCTAGACTTTATGAACTTAAAGGTGCTATTAGATTAGTGGCAAGTTCTCATCATTTTACAGTTGAAATGGCTAGATGTAGCCATAAGTTCTATGTTAACAGTTTCTTCTCTCACGCTTCTCACTTGTGGAACTCTCTTCTGGCTTCCTGCTTTCTATTCAGCTTTGATTTTCAAAAATTCAATTTCAGTTGTTATCTACCGTCTTTTTAATTCCTCTTCTTTTATTGTTCTTTCTCTTTAATAATGTTTTCTTCTTCTCATATTGTTTCACAAACTGTAACTCCTTGCAACTTTATTGCCTTGCTTGGGGTGAAATGATAAAAAAAAACATTGCTGAAGGTTTGAAGAATATATTTTTCTCTCTACTTGTTCAAAATGTTGACAACAGAAATATCACTTTATTTTTAAGAGACTAAATCAACCATAATCTATTGATGGCACTTCAAGATTTCAAAAGCAGGAGTTTTGGTTTAGATGTTGACATTGGCTTTTCATCCAGAATTTCAATCAGGAATAAAAAAAATTCATTTTACAGCGGACTTTTACCATTGCTACTATTAAGTTATACTCTTTAAAGATGTTTTTTTAACATTTTAACAGGTCTCCAAAAATGCAATATTACTTTTTGAACAACCTCATATTTTTCAAATTTATTTATTGTAATATTTTGTCATTAATTTCTACAATATTTTTAATAATCTCGATCATTTTTTCATTATCCCTTTTTACTTTTAATTGTAGGCCTATTATTACTTTGCCATTATAGAAGACTTTATTTTACGATTTATATGGACATTAAAAGTATCTGTGATAGAAAAGGGAATGGTGCCCAAAGAAGAAGCCAGAACAATTCTTATGACACTTGAAGTTTTCAGGTTTGTAAACGTTTTTCTCTCTTAAAAGTTGGTTTTTGGAAAGAGAAGACAATGAAACTTTTCACTAGTTGTAAGAGAATGACCACTAACAATGCAATAGAACAATATTTCAAATAAAAGATTGTGTTATAGATGTTTTGATGTGAGTGTTTTGGTCAGTATATTTGCCATTGCTTTTCACCTGTTGAGGGGAATCCAATATTCTGATCCCTGTGTTACAGAAAAATATATCAGACTGAAATGAACTCAAGGTGGCTCAGGTGGTCATGGCTCTCCACAGCTGCCTTTACCTTAAAATGTTTGAATTACTATTGGTTTGGAAAGTCAGTGGAGTGGTTTCCCACCACTTTCTCCACAGTTTTGAATTTAGAGTAGTCTTTCTCCTGCTTACTAGAGAGCCCAGTCTACTCTGCTATTTAACCTGTGATTGGGGAGAAGATATAGATTCATGCCTTTTCCAAAGAATAGTTGAAAAAATAACAGAAAGGCAAAATTTATTAAGAGCTACAAGGGACAGGAAATTTTGGAGAGCCATGATTGCCTACGTCCTGAGGGGACACAGCACATAAAGAGAGGTGTCTGTCATTGATTTTTTATCATAGTTTATCTGCCAGTTGAATTGGTTCAGATGTCTATAATAAAGCCTTCTCTCATATTAAAATGGAATGATCATCTTACTCTACAGTGAGGTTTCTGTTCCTTAAAGAAGAGGGAGGAAAGAGTTTATTCTGTCACAGACCCTATAGTAATGGGGTACTGAGTGAGAATCAAACTCCATAAACTAGCAATGATTTGTGAGACTTTTTTTTCTTTTTACCATCTAGCACATTTTATTCTATGCTTATGCTTTGTGAGAATCATTGTCTGTTTCTTCATTTTGTCATTTACATCATTGCTTTGTTAAGCCAAAGTAACCATTTTGAATAAATATATATATTACCAATTATTATTTTCTTCTAAGACAAATCTTGTTATTTGATGAGTCTGACTTTGAATGTTTAAATACAATTTGAAATTGAACGTTTTCCTGAGGAGACTTTCATTTTGCTTAAAAATAAGCAGATATTAAATGTTCACTTTTCTTATTATTTACATTCAAATTACAATCTTTAACTTTTGATTGGTTTTGTGGAGGCATGCTGGTGTAATGGATAGTAGCTCATTTTGAGGAATTGGAGAGCCAAGTTTGAATTCCAGTCGAATTTGTTACATTTACTTACTTGCAAAAACCCTTGGGAAAGGTATGACTCCATCTCATCTCAAGCTATTGGTAAATAGCAGGACAAACTGGGTTCTATGGCTTTGGGTGGAAACCAGTCTAGGAGAAGGACAGCTCTGAATTCAAAACCCCCAACTATGAGTTAAATAGCCTCATCAAGCTACAATTGGCCTAGCATGGTGAGTATGGCTATATTCTTGAAGACATGGTCAATAATATTTGAAAAATGAAAAAACTTGAAATCAAATCCTGTAAAAAAAAAAAAAATGTAGGTTAAATTTTAAAAAATTTTAAAATAGTAAATCTTTCGAACGTGATATTTAATTTAGTCAAATTAAAACTTTAAAAATGTATGATTTAATTTCAGTAAGAAAAATATTTGTTTCAAATATTCTTTGTTTCAATTTTCTTTTTAACTTACCAGGCGTTTTGTATGGAACTATTTTCGTCTTGAAAATGAACACTTAAACAACTGTGGTCAGTTCCGAGCAGTCCGGGACATTTCAATTGCACCAATTGAATCAAATGACCAAGCCTTGCTGATTGAAATGATGGATGATCCTGAAGGACTTGGACCTCGAAAATATCGGGCAAGATTCTTAGAAAGGTTTGTTTGCATCTCTCAAATTACAGTTTTCTATTTTATTTTGAAATTCATAAAATTACCTCTAATTTTTTTTTAATTTAATGACTTCATTAAATAGTAAACAAAATATTAACTACCTAAAATAATTTTAGCTTGAAGGGTGTAAATTATTTTGTCTTCAAAATAGTTTATAATGACATTCTTTAACCATATTTTCAAATATATGATCATTATAGACTATTATTGTGGTAAGTGCACAACTCCTCTCATTATGGAAGGAGTTTGTTTAACAGCATATCAACTCCTTATGGGTCATTTAATTTTCTTGGGAGCATTAGTAATTTCTTTTACAAAAAGTATTGCTGCTTTATTTTGTTTTTCAAAAATTTATTGCTGGTAATTTTTTTAACTATGAATATGTATTGCTGGTATGTTTACTATAAAAATATATTTTTATACTTTCATAGTGTTTTGACCCCAGTTTGGGTGGGGGTGTTAATTATTTGCCCATAGCTGGGACCCTAACAGGTGCTACCACCCTGGGTCAGGGTGGACGTGAGAAAAATAACAATTAAGAGGTGGTTTCATGCTATTCAAAACCTCCAGATCAGAGGCCTTACTGCTGGATGTAGTTTATCATCATACCCAAGATGTAAGTGCAGGGTTAAGTAGAAACTGGCTGTAAGATAAATTTTATGAGCCTAAGAGTGTTTAGCATCCCTTGACTAGTCTCAGCTGAGCAGCTTCAGTGAGAGACAGTCAAACAGTACATGTGGAAGTCAGAAGTGATGTTAGGCAGTAGAGATTGACCCAGAGTAGAAATTGGAGAAAGAATTATAGATATAGTGTAGGTAGTGTAATAAAAATAGGCATGGAAAATTAGAATCAGTGATTTGAGTTCAAATTTCAGCCTAGTTTGTTATATTCACATTTTCACTTGTGAAAAGGCATGAATCTCTCTTTTTTCCCTCATCTATGGGTTAAATAGCAGAGTAGACTGGGATCTCTAGTTTTGGGTGGCAACCAGTCTAAGTGAAGGAAAACTCTGAATTCAAAATGCAGAAACAGCAATGGAAACCAGTTCACTGTATTTCCCAAGATGCCTTGGCAATTCACAGATAATAAAGATGACAATTCAAATGAGTGTCATGATCACCTATATCCTGAAGGGACATGACTTTAAAAAAATGAAAAACAATTGGAGTGTAGAGACAAGAGGATATGTTTTGATTCCTATTTCAGGGTAGTCTGGCTAATATTCCAAATTTAGAAATGAAAGGATGTATTTCTCCTGCTCTCTACTTGGTTGAACACTAAAGTTGCATAGGAGCAATTTGTAAGCCAAGATGAAAGTATAATTTTCTGAAACAGATATGCTGAGTTCATGAAAAGGCAGTTTTGGCCTTAAAGACTTTTTCTTTCTTTCAATTGACAGCAGATATGAAAATAAGGAGTTCTTCTTTTCACTCAAAAAGATAAGTGAAGACTTTTGTCTCAAGACTTCTTTGAAAAATATTTTTTTCCTTTCTTCGATAATGTTGTATATCATCATAAAAAATCATCAAAATTCTTTACCCATTCCTCTGTAGTGTAGAGCCACAACCTCATTGTGTTTTTTAGAGAAAGTAGGTTTTTATGGAGTGGAGTTGTCAGCCCCATGCCTAACTGGATTTTGAATTATCTTTCTCCTGGAATCTCTAATTTTGGTTGCTAACCAATGCTATAGAGCCCTGTCTGCTCTGCTATCTAACCTACAGTTAGGGAGGAGAAGGGATGGATCTATACCTTTGCTAAGTGTATTTGTGCAAAAGTGAATGCAAGAAACTCAAACAGAATTTGAACTTAGAATACTATGATAGATAATATAGGTGATTAATTATCAAACAATATATTGTTTTTGAGGTTAACCAAATCTTGAATATACCTTTTTGTTCAATAATATATAGTTTTTATAAAATATATTTTATCTATATTGTTCTGCCTTTGATTTTGCTTATAAATAATTTAAAAATATTAATAATCTACAATCTGACTTGTGAATAGAATAGACTAGCAGATTCTAAGCCTTAAAAATAGAAATAGATTTTTAACTTTAAACAAATAGAACATTTCTTAGATAATTACTAGAAAATAAATTATAAATAAAATATTTTTCCTCAATAATATTTTTCCTTTTTCTTACATTCTTTCACACTCCGTAAACAGTAGCATGTGGAGGTGCAGCGGGTGTGATGACCCCAAGCATCCATATTGACAGGGAATCAAAGCATGAAATAAAAATTTAGTTTTTGAAATTTTAAATTGTCTCTGTTAACTTTGTTGGATAAATGCCCTATTGACCTACAAGCTGGTGTGAATGTGGCTCCATGTTTTGATAAGCAAGACCAGAGTAGGCCCCTTAAGGGCATACAATCAAGTAGTTGACTCTGAGCATCACCAAACCTCTGCATGTAACTGTTTGTAAACCCCTGTATCATAGTGGGTTCATTGCTTTACTTGGGGTGAACTGATTTAGAATAAAAAGATAATTCCTGGAAAATAAATGTTTAAATAGAACATTTCTTAGATAATTACTGGAAAAACAAATTGAAAAATATGAAAAGTAGTGTTATGAGACCTAGCTACCAATCTAGTGCTGTACTTAAATTTATGAAGTAAAAATACCAAAGACAAAATCTCATCAGAACAATTTATGTTTTGTGTGAATGATGGTCTCTCCATTCTGCCATGTCATTTACATTGTTGCTTCATTCAACCAAAGTGAACATTTATTTAAGAAAATATTTATAGAAAAAGCACAGGAGAGCTCTGTTATGGTGGGGGAAAAGTGACTGAAGCTGAGATGCTAGGTTAGAACCGATAACATTGCAAATTCTTCTTTATATTTTCTCAAGAATCTCTAGATATATAGCAGAAGTACCAGACTCCAAAAAATTATTTTGACATTTTTTTATTTTCTATTCTCTTGCTTGAAATATTTGCATTTTCTCTTTTTTTTTTTTAAAAAGCTTTGACCATTACAATAACTTCAAAGAAATGCATAGTAATGTATGGTTTTATTATGTAAGCAGAAGTCTAACAATTTAAAAATAATAAATGTATGCTTTTTTGTCAGAATGATATATCTCTCTTTGATATTACAAGTTCTTACCTCATTGATTTTTAGGGGGAATATACATTTTTTAATTATTTCACCCCAAGCAAGGAGGTAGTGTCTTAGAGACTATGAAGAAAAAATACTATTAAAGAGAGAGAAACTGTTCACATAGAACTTATGGTTCTATCTAGCCATTTTAACTGTTAAATGATGAGACCTTTTGTAAATCTAGTACTGTACTAAAGAGAATCAGGACAATTGCCATCAATGTATTTATTGAAAAGGCATAGGGAAGTTACATAACAGTGATGAGAAAGTGACTGAAGATGGGATCCCAGGACAGGACAAATAACATTGCAGATTCTTCTTTGGATTTTATCAAGAATCTCTGAATATATAACAGGAGCATTGGACCAGATGTGGCAGCAATATTCAAAGCATGATTGAATGGTAAACTTATAAATATGTATGATAGATTCTGGCAAGAAAAAATGTCTAGCACATCAGAGGAAACCAACTTTGTTAGCAGCAGACAAATATATGGAAAGTTATGTATGTAAATAATCTACAGTGTGTATTGCAAACAAATAGTTTGTATGTGAATCGAGGGTTATACCAAAATAGAAAGAAATGTGGCAAAGGTGTTTTCTCATCAGATTTATTTAACCTGTAGACTCAAAAGGAAAAACTAAAAAAATTAAGGAAAGCAAGAAGAAAGTTTTTCTTATAAGAAAGCTGGACGCATGATCATGAGCAAAGATGTAAGTTACACATCAGGGATGTCAAAATCAAGCAGTTGCAGAAATTTAACTATCTGGACAGTTTAATAATCTTCTGTATGTTGCATCACTTCCTATCCCTTAGCAGTTTTTCTTCTTTTGCTAAGACTCACCTCCACGTTCCACCAAGCATTCACACAGGTTCATCAGGTAGGTGGCTCACTGCCTCTTACTTTCTGTCTTGTCCTGTAAAGGTTAATTTTTCTAAGCCATCCTTCCTTATTATGTCCAAAAGGATTTCAGTTGTCTCTTGCTGATTCTGAGTATGTGTTCTTTCTGTTAACATTTTCTTTAAGGCTTTTCATTGCTTACTCGATCTCTCGATCTGTCTATGAAATTTCAGAGAATAGAAAAAGTGAAACATAAATTTGAAGGCATATACAAAAAATAAAAGATACATTTTAGAAAGTGAGTAAGCATCATAAAAACATTATTAGAAACACAAAAGTGTGTTTTGCTACTGTGTAGCATTGGTAATTAGTCCAAATGATAGTATAGTAAATAAACTACCAATAACCATGATAGAAGTTAAGACTGCAATTTGTTTACATTTTCACAACAGATTTTGTATGTTGACATTTTGCAGATATACTTTTTTGTTTACCTGCCTCATTATTTCAAATGTTTATAGAAATAGGCATATAGATAAAGTTCATACATTTTAGTAAACATCATTATTCTCATTTTACAGAAGGCCAGGAATTATAAGTCTATTGGCTTAGAGAAGCTGGCATGTAGTTTCAGTTATCAGTGAGTTGTTTGACCTCTACCTATCTATTTATCTCTTTAGGTAACATAGTTACTTGGTGCAGATTTGTATTGACAAGCTAGTATTTTTGATTTCACTGACAATAACCCATTGCAAAGTTTTATATTTGTATTTATATACTTTAATTTTTATTTTTTTATTTACTCAAATCAAATTCTCTTTTCATAACTTATGATCTATTTTCTTTTATGTCAGCAAATCTTTATTCCTATTTTATTTTTTTCATTTTTACAGCTTTTATATTTCATCTTTTTGTATCTTTCTTTACATGCCTCTGAAATCTTTAAATGCCAGCCATTTTGATTGTTAAATTTTTAATATTACTCTAATGTCTACTCTCTCATATAGCAGTGGATATTTGACAATTTTGTCAAAA